AAAGTATTCATTGTGGTAATTTGATATACATCATGAAGGGATTCCCCCATCTAGTTAATTAACAGACCCATCTATCTATATCTATATCTATATCTATATCTATATCTATATCTATATCTATATCTATATCTATATCTATATATATATATATATCTTTTTGCACGTGAGTATGAAATGTAAGTTCTACTCTCTTAGCAAATTTCTATTGTATAATACCATGTTATCAACTATAGTCTCCATATTATACTTTCGATCTTCAGACCTTACTACCTAATAACTGAAAGTTTGTACCCTTTTACCAACCTCTCCCTATTTTCCGCACCCATCAGCCCCTGGCAACCACTTTTCTCTTCTGTTTCTATGAATTTGACATATTTTAGATTCCAGGTCTAAGTGATACCGTGCAGTATTCATCGTGTTCCGTCTGAGTCATTTCATTTACATAATACGCTCAAGGTCCACCCATGTTATCACAAACAGCAGGACTTCCTTCTCCTCAGGCTGAGTAAGGTTCCCTTATATGTACACACCACATCATCTCTCTCCATGTAGGTTGTTTCCATATCTTAGCTATTGTGACTAATGCTGCAGTGAATATGGGGTATTGATGCCTTTTCAAGATCCCATTTTCATTTTATTTGCATATCTACCCGGAAGTGGAGTTGCTTTTAGGAACCTCCATACCAGTGATGGCGAACCTTTTGAGCTCGGCGTGTCAGCATTTTGAAAAACCCTAACTTAACTCTGGTGCCGTGTCACATATAGAAATTTTTTGATATTATCAACCAGAGTAAAACAAAGACTTATATTTTTGATATTTATTTTATATATTTAAATGCCATTTATTTTATATATTTAAATGCCATTTAACAAAGAAAAATCAACCAAAAAAATGAGTTCGCGTGTCATAGGTTCGCCATCACTGCTCCATACTGTTGTCCATAGTGGCTGCACCAAATTACATTCCCACCAGCAGTTCGCAGGGGTTCCCTTTTCTCCATGTCCTCACCCACACTTTACCTCTTATCTTTTTGATGATAATTTCTAACAGGGGTGAGGTGACATCTCACTGTGGTTTTGGTTTGTACTTCCCTGATGATTTATGATGTTGCTCACCTTTTCCTGTACCTGTTGGCCAGTTATTTATATTTATGTCTTCTTTGGAAAATGTCTGTTGAGTTGCCCTGCCCATTTTTTAATTGGATTGTTTGTTTTTTTGCTGTTAGGTTGTATGAGTTCTTTTAAAAAATATATATTTTATTGATATTTTACAGAGAGGAAGGGAGAGGTATAGAGAGTTACAAACATCAATGAGAGAGAGACATTGATCAGCTGCCTCCTGCACACTCCCCACTGGGGATGTGCCCGCAACCAAGGTACATGCCCTTGACCGGAATCGGACCTGGGACCCTTGAGTCTGCAGGCCGACGCTCTATCCACTGAGCCAAACTGGTTAGGGCTGTATGAGTTCTTTATATTTCTCAATATTAACTCATTATCATATGTAGTATATGACTGGCAGTTATTTTCTCTCATTCAAGTTGCCTTTTCATTTTGTTGATGGTTCCCTTTGCTGTGTGGAGCTTTTTCGTTTATGTCCCACTTGTCTATTTTTGCTCTTGTTGCCTTTGCTTTTGGTGTCAGATCCAAAAAAATTATTACAAATACCCACAAGTTCCTTGTCACATGTAATTTGCAAATGTTTTCCTCAGCATATGGCTCATCTTTTTGTTTTTCTTAGTAGGGTGTTTTTTTAATAATATTTTATTGAGATGTAATTTATATAACATACAGTTCACCCTGTTTCAGTGTTAATATATTCACAGAGTTGTACAACTATCATGACAACCAGTTTTAGAACAATTTATCACCCCCCGCAAAGCATCCCATACCCCTTAGCACTCTATTCCTCATTCCTTCCAAACCCCTCAGCCCCAGACAAACACTAATCTATTTTTTATCTCTGTGGGTCTGCCTGTTCTGGACATTTTATATCAATGGAATCAAACAATGGGTGGTTTTTTGTAACTGGCTTCTTTTACTTTGCGTATTTTCAAGGCTTCTCCATTTTGTAGCATGTATCAGCACTTTGTTTCTTTTTATTGTCAAATCATTTCATTCAAATCATCCATCAGTTGATGGATATTTTGATTGTTTCCACTTAGGGGTATTATGTATAATGCTGCTGTGAACACCTGTGTACAAATTTTTGCACAGATATATATATATAGAAATGGGATTTCTGGGTCATGTGGTACCTAATGTTTAACCTTTTGAGGAATTGCCAGGCTGTTTTCTAAAGCAGCGGCACTATTTTAGATTCCTACCGGCAGCGCATGAGAGTTCCAGTTTTCCGCATCCTCGTCAACACTTGTTATTGTCTGTCCTTTTTATTATAGCCGTGCTGGGGGGTGACTTGCTATCTTCTTGTAGTTTTGATTTGCATTTCCCTAGTAGCTAATGATGTTGAGCATCTGTTCATGTGCTTATTGGACGTTTGTATATCTCTGGAGAATGTCTATTCAGATCCTTTGCCCACTTTTAAATTAGGTTACTTGTCCTTTAATTATTGAGTGTAAGAGCTCTTTACATATTCTAGATACAAATCACTAATCAGATATATGACTTGCAAAATTTTTTTATTCTGAGCTGTCCTTTCACTTTCTTAAAGGTGTCTTTTGAAGAAAAGTTTTTAATTTTGATGAAGTTTATCTATTTTTTCTTTTGTAGCTATGCTTCTTGTCATATCTAAAAATTCATTGCCTAATCTTTTCCCCTAAGAGTTTTATAGATTTAGTTCTTATATTTAGTCTGACCCATTTGTGGAGTTTTTATATATAATATGAGTTAAGGGTCTAAGTTCATATTTATTTGTATCACAGAAAAATCTCAAAAAGTGTGCTAAGTGATAAAAGCAAATTGCACTATGATATGTGCAGCATGATGCCATTTATACAAAATTTAAAAGCATGAGCTGTCATGTATTATTCATAGTTACACATACTAGTATACACATAGGTAAAACACTTCACACCAGAATCTTTGGTAATGGTTGCCTATGAAGGAATAAGATGAGGGGACTGGGATTGGAAAGAATTGGTGATGAAAGGGGTCTTCAGATTTATCGGCAGTATTTTTAAGCTGAAATAATTTTGATACCATATCAACAGTTATTAATTTGGGCAGTATATTATGTTATACTTTTTAGCTTCCTCTTTTTTTTTACATTTCTCTAAACACACACACACACACACACACACACACACACACACACACACACACACACACACACACTCACGGATCTAAGTAGGACGATGGAGAACAAGCTGTTCTGTTTAGCCCAGCGCCCTCACTGGTGGCAGCATTGAGGTGAGGCTTTGGGCTTTGTGCAGACAGCCCGTCAGCCTGTTCAGGCAGATTCTGGGGGGGAGTGGGGAGCGGGGGAGGGCAGGAGGGGGCAGGTTAAGCTAGATCTCAAAAAAATAATTATTTTCATTTGAACTCATTAGCACACTTGGCATATGTTTTTCCAGTTTTGCTTCCGCAGAAAACCCTAGTCTACCTGCCACATTCAGTTTCCCTTGCTTTGAAGGGCAGCAGAGCCCAAACCTCAGTGAGCTCCCTTTAGAGCAGCGGTTCTCAACCTGTGGGTCGCGACCCCCTTGGGGGCCAGACGAACCTTTCACAGGGGTCACCTAAGACCATCGGAAAACACATACATAATTACATATTGTTTTTGTGATCCATCAGTATGCTTTAATTATGTTCCATTTGTAACAATGAAATTGGGGGCCACCACACCATGAGGCACTGCATTAAAGGGGCGCGGCATTAGGAAGGTTGAGAACCACTGCTTTAGAGTCTTTAAATCCTCTCCCATTGCTCCAGGCTTTTCCAGAACTGCACCGGGGCCTTCACAAGCAACATCCAGGCTTCACTGAACACGTGTGCGTTCTCACCTGGTCCCAGCAGGAGGGCCTCAAAGACCTCAGCGTGCTTGACACGTGCCGTGTGGCAGGCCGTGTGGCAGGCCGTGAGGCCCTGCCCTGGGAAGCAGCAGCTGCTGGGCGCCGGCCGCATGCGGACTGGGAGCTGCAGAGTGCATGTCCTCGCGTGATTGCCCTCGGAGTGGAAGGGTTTATTCCCGCATCTCCCACTGGAAGCTCTTACTGTTTCACCCTGTTTTTCTTCTGTAAAATGGATACAAAAACATATGCACTTTCTACTCACAAAGTGTTGTGAGGGCCAAATGAGATAATATCCATGAATGTGTTTGCAAACAAAACTGAAAGATTATTATGTATTATTTCAGCGGTTCTCAACCTGTGGGTCGCGACCCCTTTGGGGGTCGAACGACCCTTGCACAGGGGTCGCCTAAGACCATCGGAAAACACATATATAATTACATATTGTTTTGTGATTAATCACTACGCTTTAATTATGTTCAATTTGTAACAATAAAAATACATCCTGCATATCAGATATTTACATTACGATTCATAACAGTAGCAAAATTACAGTTATTAAGTAGCAACGAAAATAATTTTATGGTTGGGGGTCACCACCACATGAGGAACGGTATTAAAGGGTCGCGGCATTAGGAAGGTTGAGAACCGCTGTATTACTTCCCAGCTGTGACCCGAGCCCCTCTCAGACCCTCCACAGCTGCTCTGCTCAGCCTGCGCACCTGGAAGACCTGCACGTCTCTGTGCTAGCCTCACTCTCCCTCCCACTCTCCCCCATTCTTCCCGTGTTTTCTCTCCCTCTTCTCCCTCCTCCCCTTTTGTTTCTCCCCCTCTCCCTCTCTTTTTTTCCTTTTCTTCCTCTCTCCAGTCCTGGAGGCAGCCTGACTCCCTCCTTGCTGATGTGGCCGTGCCCTGCATTGCCCCACGGAACCGAAGCCCTGCCGGCCGGCTCAGGTTGCTGAGGGAGAAGGGCGTCTCCCTTCTTCAAAGAGGTAAGATACCTGAGATAACATTTCATCTCTCTGATTCTCCCAGGCCCAGGCCACAGGATCGCCACACACGTCGCCCACTCACGGAGGCAGCCGCCCAATGCCCATGCCCGTGCGCTCACCATCTGCTGGCTCCACGCCCACCCACTGTCCGCAGGAGCCCCTGAGCGGAGGCGGGGGCGACGTGCAGGAGGCCTTTGCACAAGGTCAGTTCCAGGAGCACAGTATGGCCGGGAGCTGAGCGGGCTTGGGAACAGATTCTTACTGAGATTTTTCTAGTATCACTTCTTCTGTGTGCTTAGGTTTAAGTGGCCAGGTTTTTACATGCAGTATAAATAAGTCAAGTAGATGGGCTGGTCTCCAGCGGGAGGTCTGCAGGCTGTGTGCGTGCGCGGAGCAGCTCTCCGGGTTTCCGTGCTCTTTTTCAGGGTTGTGAGAAGTGCCCTACCCTCTGGACTTTGCTTCCTCCAGAGCAATTGGCTGGAATAGTTCCCAGAGTCACGCGCTTGCCCTGGAAAGTCTTTGGGGGGAGCAAGAGAAGGAAGGGCGGCACTCTGCACGGGACCTTGCTGAGGGCATTCCGTGTCAGAGTGTCAGCCGTCTGAGGAGCTGGCAGCCCGCGTGCTCCGCAGCTGGGGGAAGATGAGGGCCAAGGAGTCCTGCTGGGGCGGAGACAGACACAGGGAGGTGGGGGCACAGGAGAGCGAGGCCCCGCCGAGGACCGAGCAGCACCTTGGAGTGATGTTCGTTCTGGACCCCGACTCTGTTGATGGCGGCTGAGAAGCTTAGAGCTGGCAGGGCCCTGCGCTGTAGGTGGAGGAGGGCAGGGAGGAGGAGGTGGACTCGGGCACCTCGCGCGGCCGCGGCCCATGTCCCCTTAGGCGCGCTGCCCTGTCCCAGGGCCTGGCAGGCCGAGTCATGGGCTCTGCTCTCTCGTATCCACGCCCACCCACCTGGCATCGCCATCTGCTCTGACTCCCCTCAGGTACGAGGAGAAACCTCCGCAATGACCTGCTGGTGGCTGCTGACTCCATCACCAACACCATGTCCTCCCTGGTGAAGGAGCTCCAGGCAGGTGAAGCCCAGAGCTCCCACCCGGCCCGCGCCTCCCTTCTCGCCGCGGGGTAAACCGTCACCACAGGGCACAGACCACCTCCTCTCACCACCCGTCTTCTGCCTTCTAGGAGCCACTGGGTGCCTCCACCCTGAGAGTCTCTCTCCCACGCGGGGTCACATAGAGACAGTTGCACACTGAGGTTTTTCTTCGAGTACACCGCATGGGGCACACACAATGCAGGATTTAAAGGCATGTAGGCCTCTGAGTCCAGTGAGGCGCCTCCTCCCTGAGTGTGTCTCCCTAGGGTCCCCCTCCCCCCCCAGCTCTCTCCTAGGCCCTGACCCCGGCTCTTTCTGCGGCTTTCCTGGAGGGCTGGCGCCGGACCAGCCACACAGCTTCTGGACTCTCTCCCAGCTGCCTTTCTGCTTCCCCTCTCTGATTTGGTTTTGAAACCCTATTCTCTCCTTTTGTCCATGACTAGGCTCTGATTCCACTTGAAGTTCGTGACCTGAGTCTGTTGCCTCCTCCCCTGCTCAAGTTCAGTGTCCACTGTGACTTCTCTCTGTCTCTCCGGCACTTGGCTGTTTCATTGATTTTCCAAAGACTCTTTCTCTTGGCGTTTTTTCCCTTACATAAAACCCAGGAAAGAGAGGAAAATAGAAGGCCATTCCCATACCATCACATCTTTAAGAATCCCGTGACGCCGTCAGCTCTGTAGCGGCCAGAGATTTGCTAATTTCTTTGCAATGGTCAGATTCCCCTGCTGTGTACTAACCAAGTGGTTCCCTCCCTAAGGGCTGTAGGTCACTCGTTTACTAGCATGTGGCTCTTTTGTTTCTTTTGACCTAATGTAATGCTTTTAATGCTTGAAGTAGCTTAGGGTTATTCATTAAAAATATAAAGCTGTTTCTCCATGGACTATTCAAACACATACACTTACTCAGACACAGACATCGAAACCATCCGTCCATGCTCTTCAGGACGGCCAGCCTTCTGGTTCCATGCCTTTAGTGTCAGGGACTAGCCAGGGTCTGGCCATGGCTTCGCCCCCGAACCTGCCTGTTGTCTTTTAGGGGAGAATCAATGTGTGGCCAGGGTTGGTTTTTCCAGAGCAGTTAAGATCCAGTCCTCCTGTGCAGGTAGCGTTTTGGGGACACTGTCCGATTCTGGTGCTACTTCTCAGCCCCTGTCAAAAGCACCCCCTCCATGCACATGTAGACAGAAGCAGTGACTGCGTCGAGGTGACCTCACAAGTGATTAGAAAGTGCCTTCTATTAGAGCTCCCCTCAGGTTTCAGAAACCCCACTTTTAAAGGGAATATCTTAAGGGATTTCAGGCCCGAGAAATTAGCTACACGTGTGCCTCTTGGCAGCTTACTAGGGTTTATGCAGAATAAGTGGCCCATGAGCTCATCACACTGGATGGGAGGTAACTGGACATCGTTAAACACAAAGCACATGCAGGCCAAGCAGCTTCACAGAAACTGGAAGTTAGGACAGCGGTTGCCAGCCGATGGTCCATGGACCACTAGTGGTCTGTGAGGTCCGAAAGGTTGGCGACCGCTGGCTTAGGAGGTGCATGGCGACCTCTCACAGCAGGAAAGGGCGGTGGCCACGGAATTGTGCCATGTGTCTGGAAGGTGCCTTAGAGATCACGTTGTCCGGTCCCCGTACTTTAGAAATGCAGTGAGTAGTTATCAGGAAAGTAATTTGCCTAACGTTGTACAGCTTGAAGGGGCAGAGCTGGTCCTAGAACTTAGGGCAGTGGTTCTCAACCTTGGGTGCACATTAGAATCACCTGGGAATCGTTTTAAAATCCTGATTTCTGGGCCTCATCCTCCGGCAATTCTGTTTCTTTGTTACTAATATTGTGGCCTCACCCCATAACAAAGAAACAGAATTTCCGGAGGATGAGGCCCAGAAATCAGGATTTAAAAAAGATTCCCAGGTGATTCTAATGTGCAGCCAAGGTTGAGAACCACTGACTTAGGGCTTCAGGACCTAAGTCGGTGCTCTTCCCACTGCCCTATCCCACACAGGACAGAACATCAAGCCACAGCCGCACGAGGGCCCCTTCACTGCTGCGCTGCTCGCTCCAACACTGACGTCCATAAGTAGATGTGGACCGAGCCCACACATGGCTCAGTGTCTCCATAAAATGCGGGAATAGACGTTTTTACATGCAAGGTGGCCAGTGTCCCAGTGAATGGAAGGGCTGTCCCCCACACCCGCCCATTCTCACTGCCACCGTGGAGCTGGTGTCAGGATGAGATCAGATGTTCAGGTTAGCTTTACATCTATTCTATACAGGGTGGACCTCTCGCTTGCCCTCCTCATCTTTTTTGAAATATTTTCACAGAGAATGGAATCTTCAAGTTGGCCAGGATCTTAGAAGTCATTTGCTCCAGTTTGCCTCCCGATATAAAAGTCCTCTGTCTGAATCTTTCCAGTGAGCTCATCATTGGGAAGTTCTTCCTTATCAGGGAGCCACAATTCTCCTTTCTGTAACCCAGTTATCCTCACTCAACCCTCGAAAGCTACCCAGAGTCCGTTCAGTTCCTCCTCTTTCTGTTGCCTTTCAAGTACCTGGCAGCAGACAACAAGGCTCTCCCTCAGCCTTATTCCTCTTTAGGCAGCTATCTGGGGGTTCCTTCAGCCATTCCTAAGGCGGCGTGGTTTCCACTCTACCCTCCTGCTTGCCCACGCTGGGCTGTGGCTGAGTGCTTCAAGCCCCAGTTCAAAGTGAGTGAGTTCCCAGGCTGAGCACACTTCTCCGGATCCCCAGTCGTGGGGGGTCTGCTCCCTGCAGAGCACGGTGAACTGTGACCCCCCCCCCCAAGCAGACCCCTGCAAAAGCAACCTGAGATGCCACTCATTTTTTTCTCGCAGCCAATTGCACTGCTCAGTCATTTTAAGATTGTTGTCAGCTAAAACCTCTTTGTTTGTTTTAACGGAAGCCAGTGTAGATCTAGGTATCCCCACCATGCACTTTCATGGTTGCTTTCTTTAACCTGAATGCACAATATTAGCTATATCCCGAGAGGATGTCATCACCGTAGGGAAAACGGGCATAGAGAAGTGGGGGCCACCCCACCTCGGTCACCAGGAAGCCAGCAGCCGTGCAGGGGACATCGGACTGCTCTGCTTGCTTCTAAGGGCTCTGAGTAGGTCCTGTGAAACATTGTGGGGGACTGGATCCCACAGGGTGCAGACGAGGTGAGGCTGCAGCCATGAGCCGGTAGCCAGGGTGTCATCCCCAGCCTCCTGTGTTACTCCCTTCACCCCCCTCTGTGCTTGTCCTGTGCTCAAGGGTCACGGGCCTCCTTGTTTTCCCAGCAGAGGAAGGTGCAGAGGAAGAAGAGGAGAAGATGCAGAGTGGGAAAGACAGAGGTAAAGGCAGCTCAGGACCCCGAGTGCGAATGGGAGCAGAGCTATGTAGCCCCTGAACAAACGCCCCCTCCCTCTTGTTTCTGCTTTTCCTCCTGCTGCCACCTTCCCCCAAAGCTTTCAGCCCCTCAGCTCCTCCTGCCTACTTGTCCCCACTGGTCGCCAAGTGTTTCCCCGGAGACGGTAGTGTCCGTGGGTCAGCAAAGCCTCTGATTTCTGATACAGTGATAGGTGGTTGGGATACAGGAAATTAGATAAACAGCAAAACAAAGCATGCCCCCTCGCCTCAAGGAGTTTATAATACAGTTAGGAAAGCAAGATGCAAAATAAACAGGAGACAACACGAAGTGGCAGGAAAAGTTAATCATCAGACTTTGAGTGTATGATTATACGTACAGGGAAGGTTTCTGAAAAGGAAGAGATGATTATGGGCAGAAAAGCAATAAAGAGGTATCAGCAGAGGTCAGTGTAGATATACCTCAGAGATATTGCAGGATCAGTTCCAGACCAGCGCAATAAAGCGAGTATCGCCATAAAGCCAGTCATCATCTTATTGCAGGTGGAGGTTCTTGCCTTCAGTTTGTAAAAAACGCAGCATCTGTGATGCACAGTAAAGGGAAGTGCAATAAAATGAGGTGTGCCTGGAATGTAAAACCTACTTAATGCTATGTGTGAAGAGCTGTGCCAAGTGATTGCCACACACAATCTCATTTAATCCTTAGCAACCCTGTGAGATAGAGAATAACAGTCCCATTTTACTGATTAGAAAATAGGCTCAGGGAAACTTAGATCATGTAGTGATTAAGTGGCAGGTACTGGGTTTGAACTGGGTCCTTCTGACTCCCAACTCCATGTTCTTAATTTTCATGCTTCTGTATTTCACCAAACAGACAACAAAATTCTCTTTGGACATTTAAGAGCTGTTATTTTTTTAAAAAAATATTTTTATTGATTTCAGAGAGGAAGAGAGAGAAATAGAAACATCAGTGATGAGAGAGAATCACTGATCGGCTGCCTCCTGCACACCCCTACTGGGGATCGAGCCCACAACCCAGGCATGTGCCCTTGATGGGAATCGAACCCAGGAGCCTCCAGTCCGCAGACCGACACTCTATCTACTGAGCCAAACCAGCTAGGGCAAGAGTTAGCTGTTATTTGTTACATATCAATATGCCCGTTGCTGGATTCCTCCAAAACATGAGCTCCACAAGGCAGAGCTCTTGGTCTGTTTTGCGCGCGTTGTACCCCCAGTGCCTAGAACGGTGCCTTGCGTGCAGTGGGATGCCAATAAATGAAGAAATGGAAGGAAATAAACAGGGTGATGTGCCACGAGCCCTTTGTCAGGGAGAGAGGCGGCGAAGGCCTGGAAGGTCCCTGTTGGCTGCTGGACACAGCCCTCCTGTTGGTGCCACTGCCCCGGGAGGGACGGGTTCTAGACAAGGCTCAGAGCCGCTGAAGAACTGCACAGGGAGTACGTGGCAGAGCCTGGATTCAACCCCGGTTTCTCTACCTCCAACACCCAGGCTTTAGTCTGAACAGATGACTAGACTAAGTGACAGGAAGGAAGGGAGGGAAGAAGGTTGATACAGGCCAGGAAGCTGTGATGGGAGAGGGAAAGCCTGGTGGGAGGGGGTCTACAGTGGTGTTTGCCCATAGGGCTCGTGTGGATAAGAGGGGAGGCTTTGGAGTGTGTCAGCCAGGACACTGGCATTACCAAGGAAGAAACGGGGGGCAGAGGACACCTCCGTCAGGTGCTGAAACCATCTAGTGACCAGAGCCAGGCCTGGGAGGAGGCGGGCATGCCCTGGGACGATGGGCGTGTGAGGATGGCAGGTCTGGCATGGATGTTGAAGGCCAGAGCTGGGGGCAGTGGTGTTTGAAACATCTAGAAATGCTACAGAGGAATGTAGGGAAGACTGGCGTCCCTGTGCCAATGGGAGACTGAGGAAGAAGGCAGGAGGGTTGCAGTACAACAGGTGAAAAGCAGACACACAAAGATCAGTTTACACTTACGTAAACACATGCGCCACACACAAGCACGCACACATGCACACAGTCCAACCAGATCCTGGCATTCATGTGGCGTGCTGTGGCTGAAGACCTAACAGCTGCTGCTCTGGCCTCTCTTGCCGTAGACCCTCCCTTCTCCAATAGCTTTCCCATGGCCTCTCCTCAGCTCCCTCCGATCCCCGAAGCCCAGAGGGCTCTGCCCTGACCACTGGGGCTCGCCCGGACCATGGGCTTTAGCCGGCAGGCCTGGTTCAAGGCTGGACGTAGGCTGCACCTCACATGTGGACTGGGCACGGTCCCCTGGCCTGGTGTCTCCCGGCCTCAGGGTCTCTGCCTTTATGCCTGAGTGGCCCTATCACAGCTCTGCTTCCTGTCCCTCCCGCTCCCAGTGTCTGCTCCCGTGTCTGTCAGTGCCTATACCAGAGTTTATGTCGTCGTGAAATCTTTCTGTGAGAGCACCTACCTTTCTATTGCTTTGGCTTTTAGGTGTCATCCCCGAGGGAAGAGTGTTAGGAGTTGGGGTTAGAGATGGATAGAGTTTTAGAAAAATGTTTGACTTTCAACATTGTAAGCATGCATGTCAAACTGGCGGCGGCCCCGTGGCCTTGAGTTTGACATGCTTGTAAGGTCCTCGGGTATGTCCCTGTTGCTACAATGTAGCTGTTATGTGGGTGTGGTTCTAAAACCGAGTGTTTTTATGGATAGACCTTCTGAGTCTCTGCCATGATCTGGGCGTGAATCTTTGCTGTAGGCTTTGCAGTAGCTACTGCCCCCTAAGCATTGGAGAGCAGTAACTGTCAACCATAAAGAGAGATTTGCCTCTTTGGGGTTGAGATCGTGCTGACAAAATATAAACACAACTTGTCAGGCAAACATCGTCTCTCAATGCAAACACCTTGAGAGCCAAGTGGACACTTTTGAAGAATTCACACTTGAGCTGGACTTCCCACCCACATTCCCCCCTCAGGCCTCTCCCTGCCCTGCCCTGGCTCTCTGTCCGCTGCATCCTGGGGAATGCTTCTGCTCTGTTGGGGTACCCTTCCTACTTTGCATCCCCTCACCCCTCACCTTGAGTGGTGATCACTTTTAACCAAGACCACATAGATGGCACAGACGAGCAGAACTTCCCCATGTTACTTCAGAGCCTGAATTTGTGGCAGCTACTCCAGGTTCTCATTTATGCTCCTGGGTTCTTCAGAGTCCCTCCCCCAGGACCTGCCAGGCCTGGTGTTGAGAGCTGGAAGCGCAGTTTGCACACGTAAAGGACACTGCGGGTCTGGAGACCGGCGGCGGCCTCCGTGAGGAAGACAGTGAGGGTCCAGGCAGTGGCCGCAAATCCAGGGCGAGCGAGAGGATGGCCTCGCATCCCCAAGCGGATACGCCTGCAGGACGGAAATGCTGCCCCACTGAGTGTAACTCACTCTCACCAAGTTCACGCTCAGGACTGCAGGGGCTGTACCCCCTGAAGTAACGACTCCCTGGATTTCGGGTGGCTTCCGTTCCATTCTAGTATCAGTACGTCCTCCTGGGAGGCGCTGGTCTCCGCAGCTTTTATGGGGTTGCAGCTGCTGGCTGTAGATGGTGTGGAGCTCCTCTGTTTTCACACCTGGTGGGGGAAGTCGGTCTACAGGGAACAAAGGGAGAGGCGAGTCCAGAAGCCCATGGGTGCGGGGGGTCAGGGGGCCCCCGGGGAAAGGTCCAGGGAGTGAGAAGGCCCTGGTGGTGACCTCAGTGTGTTGTTTGTGTCCGTGCTGCACAGGTTAACGGAGGAGCCAGGGACCGAGAGGAAGCGGTGAGTACAGAGCCTGCTCTGCTCTCCCCACAGCCCTTCCTTCCCTTCAAGGTCATGGTCTGCCTTTCCCCCCTCCCTTTCTTCAGCCCCACCTCCCAGGCCAGGCCCACCCAACAGGTGGAGACCCAAGGCAGGGTTTTCTTCACAGAGCCTGGCTGCGCCTCTTCCCCTTGCCAAGCCCCACCAGCCTAGCCATTTGGCCCGGGTCCCATTGTGCTGGGCCGGGGCCTGGGCTCAGACAGGGCTCAGCGACACCTGTGTCAGGATGCGGTTGGCTGAGCAGGCTGTGTCCTCAGAGGTCGGCTGAGAGCCGCCCGCGTCCTGGGGTTGCCTCTGCCTCCTTGCTCCTGTTTCCCCATGGCCACTGTCATTCTTCCCTGGGGACCCAAATCACAGCCCCTGTGTCCCGGAGACCCCGTCACCCAGAGCTGTAACCTGCCGCAGGTCCTCACCTCCGACACCTGTTTCATCTGCAGGATCACACTGCCTCCATTAGCCGATCAAGCAAGCCAGTCCCGGCGGTGCCCGCGAGCTGCACCTTCTCACTTTCTTAAAGAAATAAGAGTACAGTTTGCCTTCAGGCAAATGCCCATTGCCTTTAGGAATTAGTCTTCCCCTTTTTCATCTTAGAGCCTTAATTCTTACCTAGTTCCAGTTACAAGATACTGCAGCTTCTGGGCATGCTTGGAAAATGATTTCTTTCAAGGATAGATGCCTTTGGTACAGCCAGGAGAGGTCTCTTTGTTTTTCAGTCTTTTCTTCCCTCCCCTCCCCTCCCCCACGTGTGTGTAAACGTTAGGCCAGCTCGCTGAGTTACAGATCTTTCCAGCAGAAAAGCCCGGCTGCAGGCCCATGATTCAGAAGGGGAGCCTTCCCAGGCCCTTCCAAGCAGCCTCACCCTGGAGCGGCCTCCAGGCCTTTTCCCGACACTCCCTCCACCCCCGCCTGCACCAGGCCCTTGTGGGGCTCTGTCCCCCACGCACCTGCCAGCTGTGAGGCCTGCACTGACTCAGGGATCCTGCAGGCGCCCAAGCTGCAGAAATTCGCCCGCTGCCCTGGAAATCACAGAGCCGCCGGGGCCTGGGCAGGCTTTTACCTAAACTCACTGCACACTCAGGCCAGGCCCTTCCCGACAGCAGCCCAGCAAGCGAGGGAGTCAGGAGCCGACTTGCCCTTCAGGAGCTGCCAGAGCCCCCCTCCCTGGGGCACTGGGCCTGGGAGGCAGGGAGAGGCGGCTCAGAGCCATCTGGCTCACCCCGTTGCTGCAGAGAGGAAATAAGCCCACCACCCGGAACTGGGTGCCAGAAATAGCAGCGGAGCTGGGTCCTCTGCCCCTGGCACTGTTCCCCGACCTGTCAGCTATTAGGAGAAACTCACCCACGGCAGAGAGTCGGGTGAAAAGCCCGGCCTTCCAGGTGGCTGCATTGCAGAGACCCCTAAGGTCTGCTCGCTCCCATGACGCGAAGGCCTTCCTCCCTCCCACTCAGTGTTTACAGGCATGTCTCTGACCTCCCTGCCCTTCTCCCCAGTCACATTCCACACCCTGCACTGCGAACCCGGGAAATATTTTCCAACCCGGTGACCCAAGCGGGACTCCAGAGATTCTGGGTGCCCCTGGGAAAGGGGGTGTGAGTACTGTCAGCCGCTGCACCCTTCTCAGGTGAAAGGAAACACCCAGAGACCCGGCCCTGCCCGAAGCCCCATCCCCAGCAGATGTTAGCAGCGTTTGCCCCGAGGTTCTGGCAGTGCCCGCCAGTAACGGCGCATCTGCCCTGCACAGGCCCCGGAGGCGTGGAGCGAGCTGGCATCGACCTGAGGAAGGCGGGGTTCTCCCCCAGAGGCGCATTCCTGTCCGTCTTTCCACTGCACACCTGGATCCGGCTTGCAGGCTGCCAGATGTCACCACCCGCCCGGGAGAGGGGAACCCAGAGCCAGTGGGGAGTGGGAGGCCGCCTGATGCCCTGCTGGTGGGCGGCCCCCTCGCCCAGTCCTGCATGAACTAGCATCTTCGCTCTCCCCTCAGGCAGGGTCTCATCTCTGCGGGGGGAGTCTATGGGGGTTTGAAAGAGAAAAGAAACAGCACAAGCCTCCTGTTTGTGTGTGTGTGTGACCTGGAGTTCTTGCTGGCCTCTTGCCAGCATATAGGGTGCTTCCCCGGGTCGGGGCACAAGTTTCCTCCCTACCTTTCAAACAAACAGGTTTTCTTCATTGACCTTTAAAAACAAACAGGTTTTCTTCCCTCTGTCGTGCAGAGACATTCACGCCCTGGCCACAGTGCTAAAAATAGTCTCCTTCCTTTCCCTCGCTCGGCGAGGCTTCCGCCGCCCCGTTTGATGCCGCGGCAGCCGCTGCAGAGCAGCCGGGGCGGGAAGGGGGAGCCGAGCTCTGCGTCGCAGCCCCGGTTCCTCCAGCAGCGAGAGGTTCTGTGAGCAAAGCCCGTGGCCGGTCGCCAGGCGCCTGACCCGTGGCCGCCAGGGGGCGCCCCGCCCGGGTGCCGCGCGCACGCAGCCCGGCCCGGCTCAGGGCTCCATTCTGCGCTGCCACACTTGATCTTCATCCCAAGTCCCGGTGCTTGGCGTTTATTTTTTTCTCCTCCCTGGGCTCCAGGATGTTATTTTTAGTAGAAGAACTTCTATAAATATTTATAAAGGGCAGTGACTGGAATGAAGTGAGAGGCCCCGCAGCTGGCGCTCGCATCCCCCAGCGCACGCCTCTGCAGACCCCTGCCCGCTGCCCGCGGAGGTCTGTGCGGAGCCAGAGCGCTCAGCCCCGCCAGACACGGGGAGTCACATGGGAACCTCGTGAGGGAGCCGCCGGGGTACGGCGGGGGCGGGGTTAGTCCTTCCCCTGCACTGTCTCTGCTCCCTCGATTGCCCTTCCTGGGGAGGCGGGCAAGGCTTGTGTGTGGGAGAGCCGCACCCGCGAGTACCGAGTACCCGGGTGAGGGCAGGTGCGCGGAGCCTGCTCCCGCCGATGCCCGCGAGGAGCAAGGAGGCCAGGAGCGCGTCCCCTGGGTGTAAGATCGCGCCCCCTCCGCGCCTGGGGAGGAGCCTACACCTGGTGTAAGGTTGACCCCCCCACCCCACTCCAGCAGCTCTCAGGTGCTCCCTGTTCGGTGACCAGCAGAGGAGGCCCTGGAAGGAGAAAGCCATTGGTGAAAATGTGCTCCCGCGCCCAGAAGGCGGGGATCCGGCCTGCCTGGGGGACCAGAAGGAGCAAGGATGAGTGTAACCACATGGAAAGTTTTGGGGACCTTCCAAATAATGGGAGTAAGGTACGGGGGGGGGGGGGGGGGGCTATGACTCAACCCCGGAGATGACATCGTTGGGTGACTGCTTCCCCCGCAGCTCTGCCTTCTCACACTGTGTACCCGGCCCCTGCGAACAGGGCCGAATCCCACTCCCGGTCCGGACAGGAACAGGTGCCAGGACCGCCAGGTGCTCGGGCCAGCGGAGGGCACGTGATCCCCGGGCTGGGCCTGCCACTCCGCACCTGGGAGGCTGCCCGACTGGCAAGGCTGACTGCCACCCAGCAGGCTCCCGCTGTCTGCTGCCTCTTCGAGGAGAGGCCGGGACTCCCAGCCCCCCACTCCACTGCCCCCCAGCACCTGCAGGAAAAGGGGACTGGAGAGCCACGGGGATGGGCCCAGGTGCCGCATGAGGGTGCGTGGGAGCTCCTTTTTCACATGAAGTCCTGCTGACAGCTGGTTTCTGGGAGAGCTAGACCATTCCCTAAGGCCTCTGGCGTGCCTTCTGACTTCTTGGCATCTGATTCTATCAGAAGCTGAGAGCTGGGTCGCCTTCCTCACCCGACTGGGAACAAGTAGCCATCCTATAGGGGGCTCTTCCTTCCATAGCCTGTGAACAAGATATGAACGGAAACTAACCCAGGTAGATGCCCTTTGGAGATAACTGGCATGTGCTGTCAACCCCTTAGGCTTGGTTGGTGCTGTTTTGTGGCTGTGGAGACCCCCAGGGAGATCCCAGCGCATCCTGGGTCTGGAAGTCGAGGCCCCACCAGGCTCAGGGCCGTACATCCCAGCCATGCTGAGGCTCCGTTTCTTCTCGCAGCCTCGTCTGCTGGGTGTGCTTTGCCCACTGGCAGGCTCCCCCTCTTCCGCACTGCTTCCACCCTGCTCCTGTAGCGTGACAGCTTCAGGAAGGTGCAGTTGCTATGGCAATGCCTAGAGCCATCTGAATTCCTGCTGCACCTTCTGGAAGAAAAGGGCTTGCAAGAAGCCATTCAGCGGATTCCAAATCTCGCCTTCCCTGGCCTCTCTTCTGCCAGGGTCCGGCGACTGGAAGTGTGGGCTGTAGGTAGCCCGTCTTCCCCGGGAAGATGCTCTCCATCGGTGTAAGCCACATGCACCCGGGTCAGAAAACCAAGTGAGGTTCCTACCTGGGCTCTTAGGACACATATACGCCAGGGGTTCTTGAACTTAGATCCCCCGAGGGCTTATTAGTATGTAGACACCTGGGTCCCACCCCGAGAGCTTCTCACTCAGTAGCTGGGGTAGAGCCGAGAAATTCGCAGTTCTGACAGGCTCCGGGGCGGTGGTGCTGTGGGTCCAAGGCCACGCTGTGAGGACCACTGCGCCATTTATGGAGAGGAGAAACGCGCCCACCTCAGGGCAAGAAGCCATGGCCGGTCAGGGGGGAAAGACAGCTGTCTGTTCCAGAGGAAGAGAGGGGGTAGGGGCTCTGCGGGCTCTGTTCTCCGCCAGGGGCCCTGAGGAGCAGGTGCCGGCACTGGTCCTACGCTGTTTCTTTTTGGTTCCCAACAGCCACTAAAAGACATTCCCCTGGATGTGAAGGAGGGGGCAGCACCCCAGGCAAGGCTTTGACTTTACAGAAGACCAACCTCGGATACCTTGTGGCTGAGTGGGTCTAGGGGGCCTGAGCCAACAGCCTGCCTGGCTCAGGAGGAGAAGGGAAGCAGGGGTGTTCCAGGCCCCCGGCCCCCACCATTGGAGCTTCTATGCCAAGGTGCACTGCTCAGAATGCATATTTCACACCAAGCAGTCTTCAGGCCCCAGCTGGGCTGCTTGCCCTCAGCCGACCTGAAGCTGCACCCCCGTGGGTGTTATTCTCCCAGAGAGAATGATCACGGGGGACCTGAGGTAGGTGCTGCAGGCCTACCCAGCTGTGGACAGCAGGCGCCGGGATTCTGGCATCTTCTCTGCACACGTACCCCACAAGAAAGCCAGGTCTCTGGCGGTGGCCGGCTTGGTATCTCTCTTGCACAGGGTCATCGGCAAACAGTGGAGCGTGCTGGCGCCATCTGCCCTCTGCCTCCCACCCCAAGAGGGGCAGCCGGGGGAGGGTTGTGGCATCAAAGAAGGGGGCGTCAAATTCGTTTGCCAGTTCTGGGAAGGTTTGGCGGGCTGGTGGTTCATTTTGAAGACATAGAACCCCTGGGGGAGACCAGGTGAACTGGAACTTACTGGGGGGGGGGGGGGGGTAGTCCTTTGAAGAGGCAGGCACCAGATAGCCATCCTCGGATTTCTGAGGTCAGTGGTCCAAGCATTACCAAGATTAAGGGGATAGGAGCATAGGGTGGACTGTCATTCATTCCAGAGGCGACTCAGTGGGCGCTGACGATGGGCTGGGCACTAGGCCCCTCCTCGGGTCTTCAGGCCTCACTAAATCCAGGGCCTTGGGCGTTAAGGTTGAAGCCTGGTCTTGGTTCCTAACTAGGGAGTGAGCAGGGGGCTTGGAGTGTCTGCGTTGTCCTCTGAAGCCCATCAGACCGGGGACAGTGAGTGCAACCAGGTCGCTTCAGGGGGGCGAAGGGAAATACGTGGTCACTGCTCAGTGTGGGTTCTGGTCATTTGGGAGTGTTGGTCTTCGGGCCCATGAATGGGAGAAGAGATGGGAAGTGTCTCCAGGAGTATAAGGGTCCTCACTAATACATAGAAACTTGAGAGCCCCCGGGGCCCAGGCACAGTGCCAGCTATGAGGAGTTAATTGTAAGTCATAACCAATTATAGCCTGGATCCCCTTCAGCCTGGTCCCAAGAGCTTTGTCCCTTAGACTCTTAGCCTCCCTGTCAGAGGTGGCATCCTTGCACACCAGGCATCCTTCCCCAAGTAAGGAAATTCAGTCTGGGTCCTGGATCCATAGCCTCTAGAAGTCCTCCCCACCCACAGCTCCTCAAAACCCCAGGCCTGGTAGGCAGGCATGTGGCACCCTCAGAAAGCAGGCCCTGGGGTGGCTCCTCCTCCACAGGCTGAGTGGGCACTGGGTCTTCTGTTCAGCGGCTCACAAATGGCCTGAGGAGTTGTGCCTGGGTGGTGACCTTCGAGGTGTTGCCCCTTTGGGGCTCCCCTGATGGGGCTCGCATTGTGGAAGGACTATGCTTCCAGGGCTGCGGAGGAGGAAGCCATGCAGAGGAAGGTTGGGGGCGGGGGGGGGGGGGGGCGGAGCAGAGGAGCAGCTCGGGCTGGTAGGAGCCAGCAGATGTTGGCTGGGAGGGAGTCAGCCCGAGCTTTCTTCTGGACCAGCTCCTGGGGTGGGAGTCAGGCTGGACAGGTGCGTGTGAGGAAGGAGGCCTCCAGGCTTGAAGCCTCTGTGGGTCCCCCTCTTCCCTCGGCTGCTGGTCGGGTGTTTGTCCTACTTTCCTCATTGCCTAGGCAACCGTCCCCGTTCACCATTTGCTACCCAACTTACCCTGGGAGCCCACTCAGAGGAGGGGAACAAGGACCGAGGACTATGGAGCATCAGGGTGAAGGCAGGGCCAGTGGATTCTCCTCATTCCTCAGCCCTAGGCTTAGGAGTATCTCATTCCTTTGTGGTCACATCTCACAAGCCCCAGGTTTTACCTTAATTACATCCCCATTGGCTTTCCACCTCTAGCTAGGCTGGGGGCCGTGCTACACAACCTTCCCAACCTTCCACTGGAATCCCTAACCCCTTTCTGGGCCCCTGCCCCAGGCCCAGGCCTTGGCCCAGAAGGTAGGGGCCTTATCTCCCCACCTCGCCCTCCCCTCCACCTCCCACCAGGACCCCAGCCAGGTTTCTCCAGCTCTGCCACAGCCTCAAAGGGGCTGATGGAATTTCCCCTGGGGTTGTCTCGTTCAAGGAGTCGCTTATCTTCTT